ACACACACACACACAAACACACACAGACAACCCCGTAACAATATGCGTTTTGTACTGCTGTTACAAGCACAAAACGGATAAAAACAAACGATGCGGCCATATTTGCCTGCCAGTCAAAAAAAAATATTCAGATTTATGTTTGAAATGATCTCTTAAGGGTTACCTCGTCCATACCCACCTTTTTTGAAGACGAATGCTTCTGTAAGCAACCCGAACAGCTGCATTTTCCGAGACCAACCAGATTCTGACCTTTGATAAAACTGCCTAGGGCTCATTATCTTGAAGATTGGATTGATTACTGTTAAGCGTGGGATTGATTTCGCTTTGTAATATCCTCATTTGGTCGCCGCTGCTTCCATGAGTTGCTGAAACTTAGCCTTCTGAGTCAGCAAATTAATAGTTTGGCATTCGTTACTTTATTTTTTTTTTTTTTTTTTGCTTGTTTCGTTGCATTTAGTATGGTTACATTGTGCGCTAACATCTATTCACAAATAATTCGAAATTTTCTTCTGAATTTTGCCCAAATCGCTCAGTGGAATTTGTAGAAAAATTTCATGTAATGTATAGTTTAGCTGGCACAAGTGCGATGTGTAGGGCGCATTTCTGGTTTTTTCTTCAGTTATTTGCCCTATTCTATTAGGCTTTCTGAAGTGCACCAGTTTCTCTTGTTACATTCTGTTTTCTTTCGGCGTCCACATTGATATCTTTGGAAATGTTGCATTTTATAATCGAATATTTGGTATTTCAGAACATACTCTGTGTTTTATTCATTTTAAAAATACTTTATCAGATTTTCAGATTTTTTTTTTCATGAAGTAAGCAAGAACTTTAATAAAAAGGGGGGACATTAAAGGGGTGATTTTAACAAGAAGAGATAAATGTTTGTTCCACTATTACAGTGGTAATTTTTCAGCGGCAGTTGAGTCTGGCGCAGCGAAAGAAACGAAGCCGGAAGTTGCAGTAGATGAGACAGAAAAAGTTCAGAAATCCGAAAGTAACTGTGAAGATGGTGCGGACAATGAAAATGAGGAAGAGGACGAGTCGTTTTTGACAGGAACAACATTGTTTGTGAAGAATTTAAGCTTTAAAACAACTGATGAAGCACTGAAGAAGAAATTTGAGTCTCACTTTCGTATTCGTTCGGCTTCTGTATCCAAAAAACGAGGTAAAATCGATTTGGTTCATGTATTTTTTCTTTCTGATTTTTATTTCGCAATCTATTTTGATGCAGGCGCCAGTAGTTTATCGTATAGGGCGTAGACATTAAAATTTCACGCAGACTTCTGTGTTCCATTCCTCCTACTTGTTTTGTTTCTTCTGCTCCTCTATTACGTATGCGTGTTCTTCAGAGTTGTGACAGTGACAGTACTCTCGAAACTT